AAAAAAAAAAAAAAATGTCTGAATTAAAATGTAAAATACTGCAGATCTATTGAGAAAATTGCTTTATTTTCTAGTCTATCCTTTTTCATAAATGATTCCAAACTTATTGAACGATATAGTATATGTTTTAGAACCATAAAGATTCTTCTTTTCCGCTTGATCTTCGCGATACTTTCATTAGCTACTTTTACTTTATACTTCTAAAACACCATACTTACTGTACTCGATTGAAAATTTCGTTGATGGGATTAAAGAGAGATTAAATTAGACAGTGAAAACGTATTATTAGAACATTATTATTAAACTGATTAGAGAATCAACTGATTAAAATTGATTAGAAGATTGCACACCACACACTGATTAAAAAAATGATAGGAACATGTTAAGCGAACACTCGAATATGTTTAGATAAGTGGTAATAATTTGTTTGTTCAAATCATTTTTAAGAATCTGCGAAAGACCACCATTTGTTAACGAAAAGATCATGGGAAGATAGATCAATAATGGTCGTCCCCTAAGGGTTTCCTTTATAGGTCTTTTTATTTCTCGTTCACGTGCCATGAAGAAACTACGGTCTATCTTCGATAGATAAACTTAGACATTCACATTAAATTACAGGTTGAAAACCAAACATACTTGGGTCAATTACCCTTTGTTCTTTAGTCGTTGAAACGTTTAGAAGTAATACAACGGTTAGTTGGAAAGGTTCGATTATACAATATAGAAATAAGTCACGCAATTGCGACGAGTGGTATCTTTACATTTTTATTTAAACATGAAACATCGCAAAAACGGTATTTCGTATAAACAGAGTATTAAAATATCGTTGTTAATGTATCATTACTAATAATCATTAAATACTATTATTGTTAAATATTAATATACAGTACTGAATAGTCGAAGACCGCACGAGAAAAACGTGGTAAATTCATTATCCTTAATTTTACAACTTTTCGGTCATTTATCGATTAAAACGGAATATTCCAACACGAAATTACTGAAGAAGGGAATAACTAGATAGATTCGAAGACATAAATCTTCTCGTGATATATATCCAACTTATTTAATATTAGACTGAATTTCGATTAAGTAATTACTGAAACGTGTAACATCAATCCCCAATAATAATTGCCAAAATTAAATGGAGAAGGATATTTTCGATAACAATATGAATTTAAAAAAAAAAGAAATGTAACTTATCACGTTTTCCACCTGCGATCTTCCCATTAAATATCCGAAGTAGATTAATAAAATATTTGCATCAAGTTTGTATACTGTCGGTCCCACTTGCGTGACTAATCGTTCCCATCTCCTCTAAACACGTAATTTCCGTTTCGGATTGACGAAACTCACCATTGAACGAACTCGACCGGCTTCTAGCTGGCCAACAGATCTTGCACAGGGGTTTCAGAAGGCGGAATCTCGGCCGTGGCATCCTCAGCAGTACGTAGATGTACGGATCCAGGGTGAAGTGAATACAAAGTAGCACGTCGGCCGCCAAGTGAAACATACGAATCAGTTTACGCGCGAATATCGCCTTCTGAGGTAGCTGCATCGCGAACTGCGCCAATGGGATGGAAATCTATCGAAACGAAAC